TCACATATACATATATCTTTTTTTAAATATTTATATAATAATATATTTAATATTAAAATGAACCGTTCACAGAACAGTATCGCTAATTTGCTATAAAAAATGACACGAAATGAATTTGAAAATATGAAACGAGTTTCCTTTTTATTTATGAATATAACAATGAATTTTTTATGGAATGCAACTAGATAAAAACGGGTTACTTTCAGAGTCTAATTGTGATTAAAGTCCCAAATATATAAATTCTTTTGATTGCGTCACTTTTATTGCATACGAGCGATACTTGGTTCACATTGGTCCACTATTATGTGATCAACATTCAATTCAATTGGTATTTCATTTTCCTACTTTCCGACGTGATGCGTAGTTTCTTACACGCTGGCCGATCAGCGATAAATTTGAGCTCGTTCATCACAGTACGGATTATTTCGATTAGTAGTTACACGAATAAACAACATCTACAATGATTGTTCTTACATTGACTTTTCTTTCTTTTTTTTTTTTTTTTTTAAATACTAGGCGTACATGACATCTGATCGAAGAACCGGAGGAATTCTAATCAAAATTCACCGAGAAATCGATTCGCCTTCGTCGTTTTTGTGGAACTGAATTGGTCGATCAACAATGCAAAACATCGACGAAAAATTGCACCGTCAGTCAGATTTTTCACATGTTAATCGTATTCAAACGATCTCTAAGCGGTAAATGAAACTTCTTTATAAAAATACCGAGTACGTCTCTATGTTTTAAAGATCAGTTACTTACGAACTAAATAAAGCTTCAGTGTCAGGTTTCTTATCGTCTAAGATCGACTAGAGTTGAGACTAGAGTCGTTTGTAATTGAAAAATATAGCGGAAGTTCTCCCCTCGACTTGCCACTCAATCGCAAGGTTTACCGACAGGAAATCGAAAAGGGTGGAAATTCGAAATTTAAACTGGTAAACATTTTTTTTTTTTTTTTGTTTTTAGTGGAAGGGCTTTGGTGTTTAAGCAAAATTTCGTTTCAACGAATTACGCTTAATTCGATTAAACATAGTTGGCTCTTGCGGCACAACAAAAGAGATTCAAAGCTCCGCGAAAGTAGGACGATTGTCTGGTGGGTCTGCTAGGCCTATCGGTGCTTTGGTTCCATCGATGGATCCGCCTGCCGTTGGTACGGTTACCCCTACTTCCGGCACTCTGTAGGGCTGAATACTTTTCTGTAAATGAAGTGCAGGAGAACATTTTTCTTAGCTTTGAATGGGAAACAGTATATGCAGCCGAGTCAACGAACAACTATTTAACGAAGGAAAAGGAAATTTGAAAATTGGAAGGCATTTGTCGTTACTCCTTTACCTTAATTACTTTAGAGTACCATCTTTCAACCTACTGATACATTAATTGTGTAGATGGGCTCATAATTTTTCCAAATCTAGAGAGACTTGCAAAGCGTATAAGTACTTCAGAAAGAACGAAAAGCAGACAAAATGTGACATTTAACTACAATGTCGTGAGATCACCTGACGAACAAAACCAACTATTCCAATCGATTTGTATCGACTTTCAATGCCATCTTTTCGTATCTATATTTTTTTTTCAAAGGAGCATTCTTCTCTGAAAGTGCATCACCTTCAACGATGAATGCACGTGAGAAACGATTCGAGGGACGAATACCTTTATACTCTGGCAACGTGTTTCAGAATCGCGTGGAATGAAAACGCGAAAAAGGAGAAAAAAATTGTCGAACAAATTGTAGCGAAATGTGATGTAAGCCTTCTTACGCGAGATATATCGTCGCCATTAGCCCGACAACTTCCTGGAGACGATGCCATTTCACGCGATGCCAGGCAATACGGAAAAATCGTACGAGCTCGTATCGTGCTACGATGAAAAGGCGACTTAACTCCTCCATTGGTACGACGGCAATAAATTGCGTTGCCTGCTCCTCGTTCAGATCTTTTCGCGTTCGACTTTGCATCATCGTAAAATCACGAGTGGTTTCATCGACTCCTTGAGAATCTTGGCGAATGAAGCACCGTGAATTCAGTGAGAGTGAAAAAAATATTACGCGAACGTGCTCGCTTCGTCGTTTCGGGAATTTACAACTTAAAAATTTCGCTTATCGACGAACAGTCGTCGTAAATTTATTTCCATCCTTCTTTTTTTTTTTTT